CGTGCATGCTAAGCATGCGCTCTACTATTTGAGCTATACCCTCCCCCCTTTATATATAGTAGTTTGTATCTGCTAATTCTAAACACCTAATTTATCCCTCTCCTCCTATTTCCCCTTTGGTAATAATCGTTTGTTTTCTATGTCTATGAGTCTCTTTCTGTTTTGTAAATAAGTTCAATTGTATCATTTTTTTTTTTTAGATTCCACATGTCAATGATACCATATGGTATCTCTCTCTATCTGACTTCAATTAATATAACTCTAGGTCCATCCATGTTGCTGCAGATGGCATTATTTCATTCTTTTTTAGTTCATCTTTTCTTATAGGTGACTGCTGAATTTCTGATAGGATCAAACCAGTTGACTTTTATACATAACTTGCCCACGTGGCAAGCGGTCTTCCTGCTGGATTTGATCTTGTGAGGTGGGAAGCGTGGCAGTATCGCATTGTACACAGGAAATGCTGAACTGAGGTGTCATCAGAAAGCCTGCCAAGGCCACACAGTCAGCAGGTGACACTTGAGACACAGGTGAGAGACATGACTTTTCCAGTCACGAGTGGAGGCAGTGCCTTGGACTTGTGCCCACAGAAGCACACCGCTGACGTCCCCAAATCTTTACTGACAGTTGTTTCTCATATTTGAGCTCAGAAACTCCCTTTGTATCCATTTTACGTCTCCTCCCTGACCCACCCCCAGAGATCAGGAGCTAACATGTAAGAGAGTCCTATTAAGTAGTAAAGATTTCAGTGTTGGGATTTGAAGCCTGAAGTTTTGCACAATTTTGTATAGTTTAGTAATTTTCCAGAACTGATACTCTGGGCCACATAAGCTCTTTCTCCGTCAAACTGCAATTGCTCATCTGTATTTGACACAGCAGACAGGCTATGGGTAGGCCAAGAGCAGACTGACCCTGGAGTCATGAATGCAGATTCCAAGGAGAAAGAGCAAATCGGGCCTCCCAAGCACTCCAGGGATCTACACCTGCAGACCTGTGGGAATCTGCACCGTTGTCTCCTAAGGGTACCATGTAAAACACTGTGGCTGTTAGCACATGGTTCTCCAGGAATGGGGGGCTGGGCCAGGCCTTTGCAGCCACTTCTCTACAGAGAAGCAGCAGAATACATTTGGGCTTATGCGGATCTGGGCCTCCTGGGACCAGTTTCTCCTCCTTGTGAGAAACTGAGCCAGTGTAGTAACTTCTGAGTCCACTGATTCCACCATGGGATCGCCCTGGTAGCTGTATCCAATTTATCTTGTCTGAGGACATCCACAGTCACTAAGTCCCCTAGTTTCATTCTAGGTTTTCTATAGTCTAGAGAGCTCTGAACAGAAGAATCAACCTATGGAAACTGTTCATCAATGTTTCCACTGACAGTCTTAAGACCAAACAAAGGCCTCCTTTCTATCTTTGACCTCAGTTTTCTCATTTGTAAAGAGGAATAGCAATAAAGCCTTCTTAACCCTCATAGCTGTAACGATTCAGGATAATACACGCAAAGCTTCTAGCCTGGCAACGTCCTCTTTCCTTGGATCATCAGTTTATCCCTCAGCATTTGACAACAAGTAGCTTTTGTCACAAACCACAATGAAAACAAGTTCTAAGGTTTGATATCTTAAGAATTGAAACCCATTACTATTAAGTATAAGTCAGTTCCTGTCACTATCTTTATCTCTAGAAGCTTCCCTTCACAATCACAGAGGAAAGTCCCTTAAGACAAGGAATGTTCTGGGGGATACTGGGAAAGAGACAAAAATCCAGTCAATTCTCTTTCTCCTTGTAATTGCCTGGGAGTCTGAGAAGAAGTTAGATGGGGGTCTCAAAAGATTTCTACTAATCTTGCGAGAAAAGGAAAACAGCCCAAGGAAAAATTTAGGAGCATGTCTCTAATGACATTTATAGATAAAATATTGCCCATCTGGTGGAAAAATACTAAAGTGGAAATGTGTAAATTTCATGCTAAATTTATGGAGGGTGAAATGAGATTTTTTTTTTGAAGGAGAGGGAGAAACTCAGCATGTTTAAAATCTAGTTCATCACATTTATATCCCGACCTAGATCTCTTCCTGTGCTTCCTACCAGAGAGAAGGGCATTAGGATCCATCTAATTCCCCAGCCTGGAACCAGAGTGTCATCCCTGTCTCCTTCCTGTTACAGCAGCATCCAAATGATCTCCATATTCTGCACAGTTCTGCCTCCTGAGTGTCTCCCAACGCCCTCCAGTCCACCATCACCTGCGCTCTCTGGGCTTCTGTAACCACCTCTCCAGCGCATGGCAGCTGTCACTTCCACTTTCTCCAAACCCGTTCTCTGTTGTGCCATCACAGGGATCTTCCCCCAACTCAAAACCCTTCAGCGGCTCCCTGCAAGCCTCAGGATCAAGTCCAATGTCTTTTTTTTAAATAGAAGTATAGTTGATTTATAATGTTGTGTGTTTCTGGTGTACAGCATAGTGATTCAGTTACACATAAAAATGTTCTTTTTCATTATAGGTTATTATAAGATATTGAATATAGTTCCCTGTGCTATACAGCAGGTCCTTGTTGTTTATCTATTTTATATATCATAGTATGTATCTGCTAGTTCCAAAATCCTAATTTATCCCTCTTCTCCCTTCCCCTTTGGTAACCGTAAGTTTATCTTCTATGTCTATGAGTCTACTTTTGTTTTATAAATTAATTCATTTGTATCATTTTTTAGATTCCACATATAACTGACATCATGACATTTGTTTTTCTCTGTCTCACTTACTTCAGTTAATATGATAATCTCTAGGTCCACTCATGTTGCTGCAAATGGCATTATATCATTCTTTTTTCTGGCTGAGTAATATTCCACTGTCTATAAATACCACAACTTATTTATCCAGTCATCTGTTGAAAGTCCAGTGGCTTTAACATGATCTGTAAAGTCCTTGATCATCTTGTTCCTACTGCCCATCAGTCTAAAGGAGATCTTGCTAGGATCATAAGATTTTAAAACAATTTGGTCAAGAATAAAATCACAGCAGAAACAACAAATTGGTTCAAAAATCCCTCCTGCTTCTCCCACTTATTTTTCAGATCTTAGTGATTCAGATGCACTAAGTATTTAGTAGTGCTTAGTTTTTATACATCATTAATCTTTTAGGCCATTTGTGAGGATTTTTCAAGTTTTTTTCATTTTATCTCTATTGCATTCTTACCCAATTATGCTTGTTTGGCATCTATTCCTAAAGTTTTGGGGCTTGTGGTGAAGTG